GGCGCTCGCATTCGAGCCCCAACCCCGGGCCTGGCTCCAGGGTGCGCCATGCCGGGCGACGTCACAGTCCTTGATTTTAATCTATTCATAAAGGGCTTTTGAACTGCTCTTAGTCTGACCCGTCACCCAGGACCTGTTTGCCTTGGGAGACCCTACCAGGGACATATAGCCCCCGACAACATAGCTCCTAGGATCACTCGGGTACTCAAACCCCTCCACCACAATAAGGTGGCGGTTCAAGGAGTGTTTTCTTGATTAATTGAATAAATGTGGTATAATACCGTTGATGTTAGACACCTCTACAGAAATAATCAAAGCCTCCATCTAAATCTTTCACAGATCAATCAGTTCAAGAAGCTGGAGCAGGAAGTGATCAAACCCGTGGAGAATGACATCACACAGTGGATGTCACACCAGCGCTCAGGTGTAACCTCAGCCTCCCTGCCGGACTCCGCCCTCTCCCCCTCCACCCACATGTGTGCTCGGGACCGCCAGCTGCTTGGTTTCTACTCGGAGCAGTGTGAGCAGCACTTTGTCACGCTCCTCAGCGCCGTCGATGCCTTCTTCGCCTGTGTCAGCACCGGACAGCCTCCCCGCATCTTTGTGGCGCACAGCAAGTTTGTCATCCTCAGCGCCCACAAACTGGTCTTCATTGGAGACACTCTGTCTAGGCAGGCCTCAGCACCTGAGGTGGCCAACAGGGTGATGAACTCCAGTAACGTGTTGTGTGACTTGTTAAAAACGGTGGTAACTGCGACTAAAACAGCCGCCCTGAACTATCCGAACACAGCCGCCATCCAGGAGATGGTGGACAGAGTCACTGACCTCTCTCATCACGCACAGCAGTTCAAAGAACAGTTACTGCAAATGGCTCATTTGTGATTTTAAACCATGTTTCTCCTGTACATTTCACCACAGACTCCATGAGTACATTAATCTAGCATAAATATATATTTAGTTTATATATATATATATATAGTTCTTCCTCTTTCAACCTGTTTGGGGTGTTTGTAAATAGTCTCATTTCTGTAAATATTTGCTCTATTTTTGTGTAGATTGTTTTATATTATGGTATGAATATATATGTAGAATCAGTATTGTGTCTCTGTAGGATTATGTGGACAATTTTCATAACATTCCTGTTTGTATTATGAAGCACCTTAGGAGATGTCCTGTTTGTTTTCCTGTGGAACGTCGTTGATGTGTATAACTGCTGGGTGTGAGTACATTTCTCTGGAAATCATGTTAGTGTCGATGTGTGTGGAGCTCTCCACAGAGTAAAGGACTGTTTTGGACCATGTGACTGTGTCTTTTCATTCACCTTGGACACAACAATTTCATTATAGTAAAAGAGAATGACAGGAAAGAAACAAAGGTTTGGTACTCCAACAGAAGGTGGGTGTTATTCTTAAATCAACAAAAAGGTGGAACTTGAGTAAAGATTTTTTTATTTTGGGCTTCAATGCCCTAAACTACAACTTCTAAAAGTCAGAAATAAAAGTTTACAGACTGTGTCTATTGGCTTTTTAATACTGGGTGATGGTATCATTTCAGGGGTAAGAAACAGAATTTAGATGAAGAGTTAATAAAACACCAAGACTTAGCATTTTAATGACAGCTACACTTGCAAATACAATATCACGGCAGGCTTTAGGTATTTCACATACGTAGCTGTAGTAACCCCCACATCTCGCCACACTCAATCGCACTCTTGTGGATGCCTGCGGGATATTTGTGATTCCAAGTCATATCTGATCAGAATTAAGTGGACCCTCTAATCTTAAAAAAGGGCTCAGTTAAAGATGTGGTTGAAGGGGGTTTAAAACTAAGCGGGACAAGGTGTATGTGCCAAATAATTCTTCAGTTTGCTTGTAGAACATTCGATACGACACAGGAGAGAACAATGTGCAGTAAGAGAAGGACAAGACGTTGCATGTTCTCTGGACCATGAAGAACATGTTGTTCATTGTGACCCTGTCAAACTGTAGTGAAGTGGTAAAATGTACAGAAAGACTTGTTGCCTGTCAAACTGTAGTGAAGTGGTAAAATTTACAGAAAGACTTGCCGTATTCTGCAACCTCCTCTTGGGCAACTACATTAACTGGCTGTAGGATACAACTAAAAACAGCCTAAATCTGTTTTCCTCATCCTCACCCTTCCCTCCTTCCTTTCATTATGGTCTGAGTGAGATATACCCTTTCCCTATGGAGAAGTAGCTCTATAGATAGACAGGGCTGCAAGAAGAAGAGATGCCTGTGACCACGGTGAGACTTCTGCTGCTCTTCAGCTCCCAGTCACAAAATCTCATTAAAAATCTTTTAAACTCACACAGGCTGGCACTCACTAGCAATCCAGCTGTTTTTATTATACACAGCAGTCCTCTGTGTGCTCTCCAGGGAGATGAGACAGACAGGAATGTGCAGTGGAATGACATTTTAAAAGAGCTTCCATTTTGCAGACAGCCACGGTAAATCAGGAGACATCAGCTTCACCTTACAAGCCTGTCTTAGACTCATTCTCCGTTAATCTGCCCAACAAAGGCGCAGAGCAGAGAAGTTAAGAAAAAAGGGTTTAAAGTTTTCAAGCTGACTGGCAAACCGTGTAACACAGAGAGGCTGTAATGCCTTCATTTGATGCCTTTTTATGCAAATTACTTTCCCCAGAAATTTTTAGGCAAATCTGTGAAGCTGCACAGTGGTAATTTGAGTTAAAAGTTCATGTCAGCATGCTAACAATCTCACATGGAAAATGCCAACATGATATTTACAAGGTATGCTATCAGTGCAGGTGAGCATTGGAAGCCCAGTACTCAGGATAAATAATGCTTTGACCACAACTTTTGGCTGCATCCTAACAAATCCAATGGGCTCCATAACAGGCAGCACCATCCCTAACCTATCATACCTTAAACAAACTTAGACTAAGACGCTGTGGCTGGCCACACTGGCTTGATAGACTGTTTCATCTAAATACCACAGTATTAATTTTCAAGGCAATCCATCCACTAGTTGTTGAGACGTTTCACTCAATGTCACAATTATGAAGCTTAGGCTGGCAGTAGAGGTAAAGTCAAGGGATCACAACTGATATTAGTATTGAGATTTAATATATTTTAAAAAGCTAAGCTACAGGAATTCCACTAGACACTGAGATGGCAGTTACAACTGCTCTAGTTAGCATTAGCAAGAAATCAGTTGAGGGTTTTGTCCTTCATTGGATTTTCTTTTCCTTTGTATAACAGTGTGAAATAAACTGAATTAATTTATTAAAATTCATATTTTTCAAATAGAAAAATGCTATGGAAAAATCAAAAAGTCAGTTAATACTTAGATTTAACTTAGCCACGCCAGGGGTAGCTTATCAGCTAGCTTTCTCTTGACACTGCCCTCTTTAGCTGTTGTTTTGCCTTTCAAGGGCAGTAATGCTGGCATTTCAGGTTATTTCAAAACTAGTGAGAAAAATACCTTTTGGCTGGTGTTAATGCTTGAGACCTCGGGAAAGTATTGCGAATCAATGAGTTATTTTAGTCCTGGCAGCTATAATACATCCACCTGAGCCAGAACACAGAGTCCTGGACGCTTCAGTGTGTGTGTGTGTTTGTCACTGGGGGCAAGCAGCCAAACATCTTATAAATGACCTGGCTTACCACAGTTGCACAAGGTGCTGCAGAGACGAGAGAGCTGAAGCTGCACTTTGTTCGATCCCCTGGAGCAGTTGTCTCCACTCCCTGATGAGATACTGTCTAGTCAAGCCGAGAAACAGCACACAGGTGTCGAGCTGCTGGGGTGGAAACTTGCAGTGATATACAAGACCAACAGCAGTCAAAAGATCAGCTGCACACCTGTCCGTTGAGTGAACACAGGAAAAGGTCATCAGAGAGGTTATGTGCAATACCTACAGCTGACAGCAGGAGCGAAGAGCAAAGTTGGCTCTCACTGTGCAGAGTTAGAGGAGCACCAGAGGGTCAATGTCATTTCTTTGGCTTACCACAATCATTTCCTGTAAAGTATTTGTAGCCTTTAAAATTACAGCTTCATAACTCAGCAGGTCCTGGTTTTCTGAAAAAGGCTCCAGCTGCAGGAAGAAACATATGCAGTCCAATCCAAGGCAAAGGTGGCATCATGAATAAATCTACAGTATGAGAAAAGGGTTGCCCCAAAATTAATTTACTGTTATGGTGGTTGCATAAGTTTCTGCATTTCGTTCCACAGAATGACAACTACAACATATTCTGGATTAGTGGATTCTCACCATTTGTCATACCACAGAGAAATTAATCTGCATATTATTATGTTCTTGCAGTGGTGCATGAAATACTCAGATCTACATATGCAGCAACACCACAGCGTAGAAGCTTGAAAGGATCAAACAGACCTGCCAGGCCAGTGCCTCTGCACAGGGTGACATAATATTTCCTGTCTGAAAGTCACAGTGCTCAACATAAAAGATCAACATAATAAGTCACAAAACAATAAAAAAAAGAGACTGGCACTGACTAAACAGAGCCACAAAATGACCAAAAACACACAAAACAAAACAACAACCCATGAACATTCAAACGTTTACAAAGATTTACTATGGGAAAAGTACAGAAGTGTCACCATCTAAGTATCAAAAGTATTCACCATGCACAATGGCTTATTTCTGAATCACATACATTTATTACATTGTTGAATTATAATTACCAAAGCATTGCATGCATCACTTTAATTTTGCAGCTGGTAAAGGTGTAGTTAATTCTAACTAATTTATATACAGCAAGGTCTAATACATCATATTAATTGTTGGTTATATTTAGTTTTCATGAAGTTAACCTGCAGAGTTTGCAGCTGCCAGATAAATGTAGTGGAGAAGAGGTAATAGGAAAAAACGGAAACACTTCAGTTAAAGTAAATTAGTAAGTACTTACAAATTAAACCTAAGCACTGGACCATGGTTAATGTGCTGCATTTAATTACTTTCTACTACTGTGTCTTTGATGCTGTTGAATTGCAAATATAAAGTTGTAACTGCAGATGCAGGAGAGGCTTATGTCGCAGACGTGACTGAAACGCTAATCTGAGTTTGAAAAGTGCTGACTGACACAGAAAAGACTAAAACCGCAGGCTCTGGAGAAACCCAATATATCTGACCTTTAAAAAGCAGTAGTATATTTAATCTCATGCTTTATCCCTCAAACACATCTTTGTTACAACAGGGCTCGTTTGTATCTCCATTGTTTCTGCATTTCGACCTCACCCAGCTCCGTCCATGTTTGCATCCTTGCACTCTCTTAAACACCAGCAGTTCAGGAATATGCTAATGACCCTTGGGGCTGACATGGATTAAACATTTTCAGAGACTAAAATGGTCTTTTAAAGCAAGACAGACGGAGTATAGATTATACATACAGTACACTGATTCACCGCAGTGAGCTCTGGGACAGTGATTTATGGCAGTAATTTGAAATCAGCCAGCAGAACTGAAAGCTGCAGAGACTGAGTGCAGTGGAGTTAGGACATGTGTTTTTGTGCTAGTATTTGTTTTACTGTTTTATTCTTGTAAGTTGTAGCATTTGTTTCTGTCTCTGAATTCCACTAAAATACAAAATACAGCACGGTCTGTTCCAGACTTAAAAAAAAATGCTCTGATCAAACATGGGTAAAATAAAACACATTAAAAATTTTTACAATTGTCTCATCCTGGTCTGCAGATTGCTGAATTTTATTGAGTAAAATATCAACAGACTATTTTGTCTGAGTCTCAACTCAAAATATTTTAGGTGACGTATTTACCCACATAACTATACTCACCAGTGGGTAAACATTGATTCTGTACTTCATTAGTTCTAACACTGTAACACATGCACTTATTCTGTGGGATTCATCTTAAACCCCAGCATTCCCTTTAGACCCTTTCAATAAATCTGGATGTACTTTCTATGCATTGTTTATTTTTACAATAGAGCATTTTTTAATGAAAAGGTTCTGATCTATTCTGTAAATTATATGTTGACATTTGTGTAACTTTTAAAAGAAATAGCAGTAAATTGTAGTTTATTACATTTCAGCAGTGGACATTACACATGCTACTAGCAATAAAACATTTGATCTAAGATGTGAACAGTTTGTTTTCCATCAGTGTGTTTCTGCCCCCTTGTGTTTAAACTAGAAGGAAATCTGGGGAGCTGAAAGTAACAGCTGTGAAGTGCAAGGACCTTTGGACCGCCACGCAGTGTCTTTGTTTTAGCTACAAGGAAACCAGCAGGATTTCATCTGTAGGTATAAAAGAGCAGCTCTGTGCATGAGTATCTTTTCAAAAACTGATGGTTACGTCGGTGACACTAATACAGGAGGAGCACAAACTAGGGCCACACAAGCTGGCTAACAGTTAAACGTGTCTGAGTGAGTTGAACATATTTCAACTAAATAATTGCACATATCCTAGGACCTAAGAATATGCTTCAAAAACATACACAGACAAGAAAGAAATAGAGTCTGAGGGCTTGTTTCCACTACAGACACACTTTGTTGTGTGGAAAGTATCAACACAAAGGGCCCAGTGGTTGAAAAGTTCACTTTGCTTAAAGATTTTCTTTGGTGATTTTAGAGCATTTTGTATGTTTATTACAGAAGGAATTTACTGCTTATCCAGTAAAACATTTTGAGCGACTGATCACGTCCACCAAAGAGACTGTTTCTCCACCCTTCCACTAAAGAAGCAAACAGGACAGGGCTCAAATATTTATGGCATTATTTATTTGAAGCTAGAGCTCCATTGAAGACAAAAAAAAGAAGTCACTGCTGATAAAAAGGTGCAAGAGATACACGGGTTGTATCTGGAGGGACAACGTGGTACATACAGTAAATACTTGACTATGACCTGGTCAGCTTTGATTTGCCCTGTAATGGACTTCAAGCTACTGTGGGCTGTATGAACAGTGGGTGCCATGTAGACAGGCACTGGTACAAACAGAGGCACAGGGAACGGGAGAGGGTTCAGACACCGCTTGGGCGGGTTCTCTGCAGCAGGGAGCCTCGATCATCGCTCCAAGAGTTTCGCTGCTTCCGAACACATGAAACTTTCTCCTGACTCTTCAAGTATGACTCTATAAAAAGGGTAAAGGAAAAGTTGCAAGAAAAAGATTTATACAACTGGAATGAATCCATTATTTGTCTTCTTCCTTTGGAGGCTTTGGGTTTTATCTACTGGGTGAGACAGTGTCCACCTCAGGGATGGCAGTCCATAATAGGTAGAGTAGTACACTGTGACAGAACAAACACTCTTCTCATTGCACTTTGTCTTTAAAGAAAATAAATGTCAGTTGTTCAAATCACTGTTTCAGTTTTGCTTCAGTTGTTCTTGCTGAAATGCTACAGACATGCTCATTTTAGCAGTTATCTGCCTGTAGATGAGAGAATTATCACTTCTCTTTGTGTGATGGAGCATCTTCATACTCTATAGAGGGGGCAGAAAGCCGCCGGACCACTCCTGAAAGCTTGCTGTTACTATCGCAGGATAACCGGAGGAGAGACTCAGTGTTCTACATACAACTGTACATAATCACAAACATGAACAGATGACATGAAGAAATGGACAGTAATGTACTTTTCCCTTTGAAACCAAAAGATCTGCCTGGTCAGTTTACAGTGTCATGGTGAGGAGGAGGCCTGAATGCAACAAGGTGCAGTGTAGAGTGCAGGGTCAGTGAGACCTGTCTGAAATGATGAGCAGTCATGGTGAGGCAGGTTTCATGTGAGGGATACACAGTAGCTGTTTGGATGATCTATTCTACGAAGTGCCTTCTGGAGAAGCAACTCTTTGGCGAGCAGTCCTGGGCCGATTTCGTGTCGAGGCGATAGCGGTATGTTCACTCTTGGTTTCGGACGGTTGAGTTTCGGCCTGCGGGGTGCCTGCATCCCCGAAAAGCTCACGCAGGAATTTGAACTTGGACAGGAAGAGCTGCCAGACTACATACCAACCTGAGGGATAAAGAAGGAGAACAGGTATTTACTGGGATAACAGGGTTACTTGTAAAACAGCGGTGCTTACTCCTAGCTCCCGTTTGTGCCTCTTGTATTAGGATTATATTCAGTTTGTCTGAAAAATAAATGCCCACCAATTCTGAAACACCCATGAAGCAATTTAACAACCTGTCCTGCTGTTTTAAAGGTATTTCCAGAATCCTAAGACTCTTCTGACCATCTGGATGAAAACATACTCTGTCCACTGAACTAGGGCTGCAACTGCCGATTATTTTCATTATCAATTAATCTGAAGATTATTTTTACAAGTGATTATATTTTTTTGTCTACATAATGCCAGAAAACTGTTATTCATGTCAAGTCAGTTTTTATTTGTATGGTCCAATACCACAAGTTTGCCCTAAGGGACCTCACTATCTATACAACATACAGGCCCAAAATCAGATAAGGAAAAACCTCCCAAAAATAAAAACTGAAAGTAACATTTATGTTTGAAATATGTCACTGCAACTTCAGCAGG